TGAGAAAAGTTCTCGTCCATTTCTCACCATCGTTTACGCATGCGGTACGTTCATTATAATGATTTACTTGGTCAGTATGTTTGTGTCAGTCAATGTGGGCTTTGAGGTTCGGTTAACGTTTTGTAATGTTAGAGGATTCTTACCCAGTAATAATAAAACACTGTAGAGGATTATTTCGCGTAAGAATGTGATGAATGGGCTTTGCTCGAATTTCAGGAAAAATAATTCCTCTTAAAGTATAAATGGATTACTGTTCTGCATGCAGGGTGTTTTCAACTATGGTCTATGCATCATATTTTTGTCTTGGAGTAAGATAAAAATATTGATAAAATGCACTTCCGTGAGGGATCTGGAAATAATTACTTTTAATGACTTTATTTTATGCACATTCAGGACTGGAGTTTTGTGAGGAATGTTTAATGAATGTTTTGAAATGCTTCTGCGTAGGATAATTGAAAACTTGCCTTTTACTGTATTGTACAGTGAATAACTTGTGAAGGCGTTTCCCCTGTGTAGGAATAAACTTCATGTTTAAATTTCCATTTGCAGTTCCTGAACACGTTCTGCTGAATGCTGAGCCAATTGCAGAAGAAGGCTTGCAAGAAGATGAACATGGGAACATCATTGATCCTGCCACCAAATCATCAGTGGAAACATCAACTGCCATGAGTGATGAAACCACAGCTGGGTCTCCGAGACCCTTGCCTACTTTGGTGCTTAACCTTGAAAAATCAGCGCCTCCAGAGAACGAAACCCGGCGTGAGTTTTTTCGTTTTCTTTTAAATTAACTACCATCTGGATAGATAATTAAGTGATGATTTCATTTTCCTTCAGGGCATCTGTACTTCCCTACGGACATCATGCCGGAGAACTACACTAACAATGATCAAACGAATAACCTGCGTCGGCACGTTTCGCCATGGAATGATTCGATTTATACGCAACTGTGTGATACTAATGTGACGAAGGCAAATCACGTCATGGGCGTTATTACCGAGTGGTTGACTGCATATCAATTTATCTTGAGTGAGTGGAAACAGTACTATAGGTGTTAATTACCGTCCTTGCGGGGGAAATTTGATGGATATTTTCGGAAAAATATGCGTGAATGAAAGAATGTTTTTTTGGCCCATTGAAGTTAAGGAACCAGATTGAATTCCCTTCCTGAAGTAGACTGTTGGAATAAATGAGATAGAGAACATTAATGTTGCGGTGAGATTTTGAGGTAGGTGGGGAAATAGTTTACACTGTAGTCAACGTTTCCATTTTAAATTCTGGAATTGAGTGTTGAATTTTTAAATTCAATCCAAAGTTGAGTGATCAACTCCACTTATTGAATTTTAAAAAGACTCATCTAATTTTTGAAGGTTGATAATTCATTTTGGAGTTATTTGAGAAAAATCTTCCTCTCTCCAAGGGTTGATGAAAGTCTATCTTGAGAAAAAAGAAACTTCAGGAATTTTGTGTTAGTTTTAATTGGATTTAAGATGGCCACAATAACCATTAAATTCTTGCATGCAATTGAAAATGCATGGAACATCTGAAAGTCATAGAATTTCTTCCTCTGATCTTGAATTAATAGTCTCAAGTAATTCTCAAATGTCAAGGAAATGAATTTAAATCTGTCAGTGAAAGTGATTCAGAAGAAACTTAACTTGATTATGTTTTCAGACTTGTTCCTTGAGGTTTTTAAACTATGTTTGTAATTTTTTGATGTACTGCAGCCAAGCTTGAGCTTGACAACTGAGGACTTGACTGATTTGTAAATGAACAGATGTTTGGTTCTTTTGGCAGAAAGCTTGAGTGAAATATTTGCTGCATTCTCCATACAAAATAATAATAAATTTTGCCTTCTATGTGGAAAAAAGCTTGAAAGAGGAAATCATTTGCAGTTGTTGAGAGTCCACCATCTTGCCTGTCATGAAAAATTCCTCATAGATCCTGTTCAGAGTTTTACATACCTAGTAGACTTCTGTATTTTGAAATTCAATGTTCAGTTCTTGGATTTGAAGTTTACTGCTCTCTGAAGATTCAAAGAATGCTTTGCTAACAGTTTTTTCAAAATGAAATTAATCATTCATGATTTTTCTTACGTGGCCTTTGTAAGTGGTTTCAGAGATAATTAGATGAAATTGATTTATTAGTCTATTTTTTATTAATCTCACGATGTTACATTTTTATCACATAAATTTCAAGTGTATGTCAATGTTGTGATGAAATTCTATTAAATTTGACTCCTTTCTCTGACCAACTTTTTTTGCATATCTGAAGAAAATCTGGAGAAGTTTGTCCTGTACTTGCTGCTGAGTGTCTGCGTCGGCCTGCTTCTTTTCTGCCTGGTCCTCATCTGCCAACTGTGGAGCTCGAATCGACGCCGAAAACGCCGCCTTTTGCGACAGCAAGAGCAGCACTTGAAGAACGGCTTCCCTTTGACAACATCCACACCGAATCCACCTCCGAAACCAAAGATAAAAACCGTGGTGAGTGTTGGCACTGTGACCAACTTTCCACCCACATCGTCGTCTGTGCTGATGGAAACGGATTCAGAAGCAGACGCGAGAGACAGAAGCACGCCAAGGTTTGGGGCTATTAGTTCAACTCCGTCAAGTGGCGGCAGTTTGGGGCGCCCTTTCCCAACAAACTTGTCTGCAATTGACAGGACTCCATACGGAAGTGCAGCTGTGTCGCCGTCATCTAGAGCAGGTTTATTGGCGCCGTTGGTTGAAATTGATGGTGTTGATGACTTCGGCGATGACATGCGTTACCATAATGTTGTGTGAAAGATTTTTCTGATGCATGTTAGGGTTTTTTTTTTTTATTACGGCGTCATTCGGCTTTGAAGGCTGTGAATTTTTGCGGTCCCTGTGACTAGGAAGGACAACCAGGTTGCTCATTGCTTCAGTTAACCTTTAATGTGTGTTTCAAATTGGAGCAACTTGTTTGTCCTTCTAGACCTGGTGTTTGCTTGGTATTGTCAGTATTGTGCCATGAGAGAGTAGTGGAACTGTCATTAACCTCTTCAGGAAATTAAACAGTTATTTCCAATGCCTCAAATTGGAGCAACTTGTTTGTCCTTCTAGACCTGGTGTTTGCTTGGTATTGTCAGTATTGTGCCATGAGAGAGTAGTGGAACTGTCATTAACCTCTTCAGGAAATTAAACAGTTATTTCCAATGCCTTGATATACTTTACTTGGGAATTAGAGATTTGAAATTGTTTCTCCTTACATCTATGTGAAGGCATCATCTAACATTGAAGCTTCATTTTTTCTTTTTTCACACATGTCGTGCTTATTCATTATAGGAGTGACATCTAAGATTAAAGTTTGAAACGTCTATTTTTTTATTCATTTTATGAATTTACAGGTGTCGCTCTTATGAAGTTGCAAGTGACGTACATTGATCAGCATTCCGCCTTAAGTACTTTTTGTTAGTAGTAAAGATCGACAGAACGTGATTTTGGGTACAGTAGTGCCAGATTAAAATTGAAGTTTCAAATTTGGTAGTCCTGATTCACCAGACAAACACTGAATGGAAGAAACCGGATTTTATTCCACGAATTAAATCCATCCCATAAGCAACTACGCATCCGACCGTGATTTCCAAGAACACTCCAATACCAAAAACATTCGAGCCCGTCTTGTAGGAGGTAGCTCTTATAAGGACATC